CACAATCACGCCAAAAATCTCGGAGTTATCTTTGATCCACTCTTGCAGTTTGACAAACATGTAAATGCGGTTGTGAAGAGCAGCTTTTTCTAGCTTCGATTTTGTTGGCAAAAGTTAAACAGTTTCTATCTAAAAAAAAGATTTAGAAATCGTAACCCATGCTTTAATCTCCTCTCGGTTAGACTACTGCAACTCTTTGTACATTGGTCTAGCTCAGTCAACACTTTCTCGGCAACAGTTGGTCCAAAATGCAGCCGCCAGATTAATACCAGGAACTAAGAAAAGAGATCATATCTCCCCTGTCCTCACCTCATTGCACTGGCTACCTTTTAAATACAGAGTTGATTTATAAATGCTTCTTTTCACTAATAAAGCGGTGCACAATTCTGCCCCGGCCTATGTCAGTGAACTTATTAGGCCTTATTAAGCTTGTAGACCGTTAAGATCCTATGACCAGTTTCTTTTTTCTGTCCCTCGGTCTCGCTGCAAATCAAAAGGTGATCGAGCTTTCTGTTGCAGCCCCAAGGCTCTGGAACAGTCTCCCTCTGAACATCAGGATTTCTCCTTCATTGGATGCATTCAAATCTAACTTAAAGACTTATTTTTACTCTCTTGCCATTGAGTGACGCATGCATGTTATTTATTATTCTTATTATTATTATCATCATTAATATTATTATTATTATTATTATTTATTTACTTTATTTTTTAACTTGTATTTTAGTATTAATTTTAAACATATACATTTTCTTGTATTTTAATACCAGTTTTTTTTTGTTTGTTTGTTTTATTGTCTAGTTTATTTTTAATGTAAAGCACTTTGGATCAACTACGGTTGTGTAAAATTGTGCTCTATAAATAAAGTTTGCCTTGCCTTGCCTAACACAAATACATAGACGTGACAAAAGTATAATTATGAAATGCAAATAAGTAAATATCTATGAATGTAAACAATATATAATAGTGACTATGAAGTAATGAAAACAGATGTAAACAACGTATAGTGGTTCTTAAAATTGTGCTTATTATGCAAAAAGTGCCTAGTGCAATTGGCTTACATGCAAACAACAGTATAATGGCTGGAGCAAATTAAGTGCAATTCTATGCATTAATAGTGCAAACTGGGATGGACAATGTAGTGTGCTACTGAGCAGAAAATGAAACTGTTTATGTCCACTGGTTATCTGTTTAAAAGTCTGAAAGCTGATGGGGAAAAAAAAAAGTTTTCGAGTCTGGCAATCCTGCATCTCACAGAAGTATTACAATAAGTAATAATGCATTTATGTTTGTAACAAGCAAGCAGCAACTTTAACGTTAAACTAAACTTCACCAGACCTAAAGTCATGAAGTCTGATACAACAAATCCTCAATTATGGGGGAATTATTCATTTACCAGATCGGGTGCATGAAAACAACATAACAGCGAGCACTTTATATCTGCTGACACAGGGAGTAGGTGGAATTAAGAAAACCCTTCCTGTCCATCCACAACATTTCAATTGTGCAAGCACTGCAAATGAGACAAATGCTTTTGATCCTGACTGTCAAACAGCACAACAGGGGACTCAGACTGATGCCCTGCCAGCCAAAACATCCACACTCACTCATGTATCCCACAGACTGCTATTTTTGGGCATTTACATCAAGTGGATAAAAAAAGGAGTGGATCACTCCTCTTAGACATTTCAATTGTAGACCATATACAAATTCTGTAGAAATTGATTCTAAAATTCAGCAAAAAATTTCAGCAATGAGTAAACTGTGGAAACAGTAAAAAGATATATATAAGCTATTGTATGAAACACAATTTCATAACATTGCACACATTTTGGGTGAAGTTGTGCTGTTCACCTACCTAATCAAATCGCAATGTGGACTGAATGTGTGTGAATGGCGTTGACTAAATATACTCAAGCATGTGTGTGATGTTTGTGGTGTTTCCAGCATCTGCTCTCACTATTTGAGGAGATTATTGAGAAAATCATCTACAGAGCTGCCCCGAGAGTCACTTCTTGAGCATTTTACTCTTTCATTTGAGACATTCTTTGAGTATGTCATGTACATGTAAGCCAAGCATGTCAAAATAAAGGTTTGGTTGAGCTTGAAGATATATTGACAGAATTTAAATTACATTGGAATGTACTAGGGATGCTCCGATCTAGAGTTTTTCAGCTGATACCAAGAACCAATTTTAATGCTTCAAGCTTAATAATGCATAAAGCGCATTTTCCCTCCAAGTATGATACTAAAGTGGAGATCTTTCCTTCCCTAAGAGAATAAAGTAAAGATGTTGCTTATTATTCCTTAAACTCCTACCTTATAACCATTTAGTGTGGACATGTCATGATCAAAAGCAGCTTTGCAGAAAATAATTGATAAACAGATACAAAAAATTGGTAAGAAAAATGACTAACAAATCGCTTTGGAAACACTGCAAATGCTAGAAGAAGAATTCAGCACGTCTTAAAAACGATTGGAGCGCATATTTGATGCATAAGAAATTAAAATACCCACCTATAAATCTATTACTTCTTTACTAAAAGGGAATAGGTCTATAAACTACTGTTTATACAATAAGTTATATTATTAAACATGAGATATTTTATATATATATATATATATATATATATATATATATATATATATATATATTTATTTATTTTAATTTTATTTTTATTTTTTTTATTTCCCAAATTTTTCCAGCCAGGTTTTATGAACCTGATTTTGATTAAGTTTTTGCAAACTTGTTGAAAACAGAACTTTCAGTTCTGATATGTAAAAAGATTTCAGTTCTTATAAATCCTCGGTTTGTAAACTCGTAAACAAACACCTGCGATCGGTTTATAAGATTAGCCAGATTAGCGAGTATCGATTGAGTCATGAAATGTGATTATCGGCCAATTCCGATCTCTGGCCGATCGATCAGAGCATCCCTAAAATGTACTAATCAAAGTAATTAAGAAAATCAATTATAATAAAATAGTAATTATTTATTTACTTATTTCATTAATAACTTCACAATTGTTCTTTCATTTTCAACAGCTATAAATCAGACAGAAAATAACTTACTTCATAATTTCCTTAATTATTTCTAGTGTTAAATCTCAATAAACCATTGTTAAAACTAGAGCAAGACATGGTTCGGGAGTACGACTTTAAAACCAAAGGTTCTCGATTCATTGAGGTAAAGTTGTTTTTATATTTGCATATTCAGACTTTCTCATTAATAATACAATCTCAAAAAAGTTTTCATGGCAAATTCTAAACAGTGAAATCATATAAGCAGCCAACAACCCCCAAAGTACAACCTTGTTAAGTCAATTGCATAGAACTAATGTTGTTTTTTAAGTCATACTTAAATGTGATTTCAGTCTGAATATTCAAAGTACCATGGTACTTTGCTGTCCCAGACTTTCAGTATTTGCAGCAATTGAATGTGTGGGGAGTAAATAAACATGGCTCCCTCCTGCGTTCGATACCTAACTGAGGTAAAACCATACTTGACGTCACTTTACTAATAATACGCATCCTGTTATTAAAAAGGGACCAACATGTTGATTGCTAAAATAAACTACAAAGAAAAAAAAAATTCAAAACAGACAAAAATATAAAACAGATTTACAAATATTAATCTAGTTTATTTAGTATTTTGTAATAGACTCAAAAATGGTATTAATAACTCTACAAGATAATAGTACCAAAAAAATTTAATTATATTCTTATTTAAAGAAAAAGTTTAATATTAAATAACAAAAAAAATGTGTTTATTTATTGCCAAATCAGCAACCTATATCTATTCTAAATTAAAAAAATAAATAATAAATATAAAGAACTAGTGTGTCTTCACTCAACCCAGATAATTGTCAAAGGTACAATGCCACTATAGTGATCTTTTGAAACACCTTTAAGCACTAAACCTTAATTCCATTAAGGTAAAGTTAGTTTTATATACAAGCACATTCATTCGTTTTTCAACAGTGACAACTTGTGACACACTGCTTTGAATATTCGAACTGAAATGACATGCAAGTATGACTTCAAAACAACATTAGCACTATTTAATTGCTTGTCAACACATTTGTACTCTGATAGTCATTGGCTGCTAATATGATTTCCCTGTTTAGAATTAGCTCAGAATTCTGTTCTGAAACTATATTATTAAGGAGAAAGTGCAAATGTGCGAATATAAAACAAACTTTACTCCAGTCTTTATTCCTTGGTACACAACTTGCACTATTATGTACAGTGTTATGCATTAAAGTACCACTGTATAATAGCAATACAACAGATTGAGGTAAAGTTGGTTTTATATTTGCACATTTGTTAAGTGATAACTTGTGATACACTCCCTACATTGTTTACCATGGTACTTTAAATATTTGGACAGAAATCACATGCAAGTTATGCCTTTACAGGTAATTTAATAGTGCTAATGTTGTCTTAAAGAAAGTTGTACTTTGATAGTTACTGGCTGCTAATATGCTTTCACTCTTTAGAATTAGCAAAAAAAAAATACTGTTCTTAAGTTATATTACTAAGGAGAAAGCCCAAATGTGTGAATATAAACCAACTTTACCTCAATCTTAATTCCGTATTAAACAACTATAAGTATTATATACAGCATCATCCATAAAAGTACCACTGTGTAACTTAATAGCAATACAACAGTTTCTGCTGTAGGAGCATGGTATCCTAGTAACGCTAGCACTGTGCAAAAACAACAACACATGTGTTCAAGCATGTAAAATACACGTCTTCAAGCATGTGAAACTGAAATACCTTCTCTTTTTTTGGACATTCACTACCACTACAACAACAACAACAACAACATGATGATGACCACTCAGTACCATGGTACAGTGAAGGTATCAGGTGGCAAACCCACAGCGAGCAGCTCTGCCAGAGCTAAAACTGTCTTTGATTACACATCACAAAGAGTTAATAAAAGGATCTGTACCTCAATCCTGTTTTCATTCATAAACACAAGCAAATCAACTCACCGATACCGAAGGCTTTGGCGAACAGCCACCGCAGATTAGCCGCTATTTTGGCTCGGGCTGAATCATACATTTCCAGCGGCACGATCTCCAGCGCCTCGCCCGCCGCCTCCATCTTTCTGCGGGCGCTGTCAGCACCCAGCTCCGCGTCCATCCCGAGACCACCGTCTGCAATCACACAAGGACAAAACACCATCAAACAATCTTAAAGACTCTTTAATGTGGGCATGCGGCGATTTATAACCGTCATGCCATGCATTGGAAGCGGTAACTCATTTCTTTAGCGTCTATGCTAACTAACGTTAGCCCACGAGTGTGTATTTTATTCCAAGACTAGTAACTTATACACTTATATTTGTAGTAAAATTAGACACTAACAACATGTATATTTATTACAAACAGCTACCAGAGAAAACAATCCTATCCGCCCGTTCCCTGACAAAACAAGATAAGCTAGTCTGTGATTAGTTTATATGCAAAGTAACTAGCTAGCCATCGCCCAGGTAGCTAATAAACAGCCAAATGCTGTATTGAAATGTTGAAACACTCACATGTAAAGGTAGATTTCACCATGTGTGAGGGCTGCTGTATTGACCGTAAACTGGTTTGCATGTTTTGACTGAAACAGTTAGAATCGGCTAACAGCTAAAGCTGCTTAATGAGAGGTGGACTAGCAAACCGCAGCTAAACAACAGCCCAATTGTCGGCAATTAAAGAAAACAGACGCTTTTACAGCAACATACCTTCCATGTAATGATTTATCAACAATCCACTCTGTCAAATCTGTGGGTGGGAGATGAGAGAAAGGGGTAAAAGGCTCCGAGGGGAATCATGAGGCCACGTTTAGTCCGATCAGATACGAGTGTCGGTGGATGAATGACAAACCCCAGTGAGTGTGGATTCAGAACAGCCTTCAGTATACAGCACACTTCAAAATAACACACTGACTAACACTGTACTGTTTTAAACGCTTATTGTTCACGGTTTGCTGTTGTGGGTGAAATGTATGTAGAAATTTGTTATTAGGCCCTGTGGATTTTGTTGAGAGAAGTATACACCTGCTTTGTTTTGGGGGTTTTGTCATTGCAGTTCTGTTTTACTTGTGTTTTTTTTTAAAGATAATTAGAAAAAGCCTACTTAAAGGATGGTCTATGGAGGACGAAACCTGCAAAAACAATAAATAAATATGCAAATAAATAAATAAATGAATAAATAAATACACAAATTCCTGTATAAATTAATAAATAAATAAATATGCAAATAAACTAAAAAATAATTAGAAAAAGCCTACTTAAAGGATGGTCTATGGAGGACGAACCCTGCAAAAACAATAAATAAATATGCAAATAAATAAATAAATGAATAAATAAATACACAAATTCCTGTATAAATTAATAAATAAATAAATATGCAAATAAACTAAAAGATAATTAGAAAAAGCCTACTTAAAGGATGGTCTATGGAGGACGAACCCTGCAAAAACAATAAATAAATATGCAAATAAATAAATAAATGAATAAATAAATACACAAATTCCTGTATAAATTAATAAATAAATAAATATGCAAATAAACTAATAAATGAATAAACATACAAAGTCCTGCATAAATAAAACAATAAATAAATATTCAAACAAATAAATAAATGTATATATAGATACACAAATCCCTGCGTAAATAAAATCTAAAATAAATTAATAAATACACAAATAAATAAATGTATATATAAATCTACAAATTCCTGCATTAATAAAACAAACAAATAAATATGCAAATAAATGAATAGATAAATATACAAATTCCTGCATAAATATGCAAATAAATAAATATGAAAGTAAATGAATGAATAAATATACAAATTCCTGCATAAATAAATAAAAATTCAAATAAATGTATATAAAAATCTACAAATTCCTGCATAAATAAAGCAATAAATAAATAAATAAATAAACATGCAAGTAAACAATTAAATGAATGAATAAATATAAAAATCCCTGCATAAATAAAATATTAAATAAATAAATATGCAAATAAATAAACGTATATATAAATCTGCAAATTTCTGCATAAATAAAGCAATAAATAAATATGCAAATAAATAAATATACAAATCCCTGCATAAATAAAACAATAAATAAATAAATATGCATATAAATAAATTAATGTATATATACATCTACAAATTCCTGCATAAATAAAACTATAAATATGCAAATAAATAAATGAATGAATAAATATACAAATCCCTGCATAATAAAATATTAAATAGATAAATAAATAAATATGCAAATAAAAAAATGAATGTATATATTAATTTACAAATTCCTGCATAAATAAAGCAATAAATAAAGAAATATGCAAATAAATAAATTAATTAATAAATACATATACGCATCCCTGCATAAATAAAATATTAAATAAATAAATACGCAAATAAATAAATGAATGTATATATTAATTTACAAATCCCTGCATAAATAAAACATTAAATAAATAAATATGCAAATAAATAAATGAATGTATAAAAAAATCTACAAATTTCAGCCAAAAATAAATAAATAAATAAATAAACATGCAAATAAATAAATAAACAAATGAAGAAATATATATATATATGTATACTTTCAATTTAGCATTTTCTTATTCCCCCAACATCTGTGTAATTTATTACATTTTTAATCTGCTCGCACTACCATTTATATATCACCCACATAGCCTACATACATACATACAGCTGTGTAATTTTGAAAACTACTGATGTAATTTCTTTCAAATGTAAAATCAAAATGTTGTCATTTACAGCTTAAAATAACAGTTATATGAAATCAATACCCCTGGTTTTAAATCACAGGTGTTATGCTGCACGTCAATATAAACCAAAATCTCTGAGGAAAGTTTAAAGCGCCTTGTTAAAACTGGGTTATGAATATTTAAAGCAGTTCTGCAGGCAAAATTTGTTCCAATCCGATGCTGTCAAGGTGTACCTTCATTCATTCATTTTCTTTTCGGCTAAGTCCCTTTATTAATCAGGGGTCGCCACAGCGGAATGAACCGCCAACTTATACTGCATATGTTTTACGCAGCGGATGCCCTTCCAGCTGCAACCCATCTCTGGGAAACATCCATGCACACTCATTCACAATCATACACTACGGACAATTTAGCCTACCCAATTCACCTATAGCATATGTCTTTGGACTGTGGGGGAAACCGGAGCACCCAGAGGAAACCCAAACGAACAGGAGGAGAACTAGCAAACTCCACACAGAAATGCCAACTGACCCAGCTGAGGCTCGAACCAGCAACCTTCTATTATCATTATTAATATTATAATTATTTTATATGGAATTTCCATCATGACACCTCAACACTGATTCACAGAGCGATCATTCACCTCCCTGCACTGCCCAGCTTTGTGTCTTACAGGCAACGCAATAACAAACACTGCAAAACACACTGCCTATGACTTATTAATGTGGAGACATATATCTTCGCCCAAACTATACTGCCAAAACATGCTGCAGATGCAGAGGTGCGGTCATTGTAGATTATGCAACTTTATGCTGATGCAGTATTTAAATGAATGCTAAGAAAATATATGAATCCATACTGTATCTCTCAAGGCTGAAATTCAATTCATCTTTATTTCTATAGCGCTTTTACAATGTACATTGTGTCATAGCAGCTTAACAAAAGTTCTAGCAAATAGAAACTGTGTCAGTCTAGTGTGGTTTCAATTTCACTGCTGAAAGTCCAAACACTAAAAAGCAAATCCATCGATGCGCTGAAAATTGAACAGGATGCTCACAAATTTGATTGTAAGTCAATTTAAATAGCATTTCTCTCCTTCAGTTTACCTCGGAGAACTTTTTTAAGCCTGTTAGTGGGCATGAATTTAGGCTCAGGAGATATTTTGTAATAAATTAAAAGCGTTCATGCCACTGGTTATCTGAAAAAGCTGCTTATTAGCTGTACACATAGATAAAGCACATTATTTGTTGCTCTTGTTATTAAAGCATGGAGAGGCAATAATACCAACACACAGATGAAGACAGAATTATTAGCCCTCCTAAATTGTTAGCCCCTGTGTATATTTTTCTCCCTTTAATTTCTGTTTATCTGAAGATTTAGAGATCTAGAAAATATGATCATGTCACCCCAATTTTATCCTCCTTACACTGGCTGCCTGTTAAGTTTCGTATTGAATTTAAAATATTGCTTGCTTACCTATAAAGCTTTAAATAATCTAGCTCCTGTTTATCTAACAAACCTTTTGTCTCGCTACAATCCAACCCGCTCTTTAAGATCTCAAAACTCAGGGCTTCTGGTAGTACCTAGAATAGCAAAGTCTAGTAAAGGAGGTTGAGCCTTCTCATTTATGGCACCTAAACTCTGGAATAGCCTTCCTGATAATGTCCGAGGCTCAATGCACTCTCGCAGTTCAAAACTAGATTAAAGATATCTTTTTAGTAAAGCATACAATCAGGGCATCACTTAACGGTGTGATACATGAATGTGCTCCACACAGGTTTCTTCATCTCGTTTATATACACTATGAACAGCAGCTACACTAATTATTCTCTTTATTCTCTATTTCCACCAGGGGATACTCATCCCGAGGCCCTCAGACTATGCAGCACCACTGATTCGATCCAAGACAGCAACGGGATGATCCCAAGGTTCCTATAATCCTTTACCAGGCTGTATGCGCAGATGCTGTGGTGGTCATTGAGGAGTGGAGGGCATGAGACTGATTCCTGTGACGCTCCAGGGACAGACGAGTCTTCGCTGAGGTCCAGCATCCTCCAGCCTCCGGTGCCTTGACTGCAGCTCTACACAAGACGTTTGGCCAGAGGAGAAATGGTCGTGCCCAACTGAGCCTGGTTTCCCACGAGGTTTTTTAATTCTTCACTTTCGCCAATTGGTGAAGTTTTTTCCTCGCCGCTGTTGCCACTGGCTTGCATGGTTGGGGATCTGTAGAGCTGCGCATCGATGGATTTGCTCTTCAGTGCTTGGACTCTCAGTAGTGATTAATAAACCACACTGAACTGAGCTAAACTGACCTGAACTTAGACACTGAAAACTGAACTACACTGTTTCAATTTACTATGAGCTTCTATGTGAAGCTGCTTTGACACAATCTACACTGTGAAAGCGCTATACAAATAAAGGTGAAATTTATTTATTCAGCACATTTGTAAACATAATAGTTTTAATAACTCATTTCTGGTTACTTTTATCTTTGTCATGATGACAGTACATCATATTTGATTAGATATTTTTTAAGATACTAGTATTCAGCTTAAAGTGACATTTAAAGGCTTAACCAGGTAAATTAGGCAAGTTAGGGTAATTAGGCAAGTTATTGTATATTGATGGTTTGTTCTGTAGATAGTGGAAAACAAATTTTGCTTAAGGGGGCTAATAATATTGATCTTTAAATGGTTTTAAAAAAATAACAACTGCTTTTATTCCAGCCGAAATAAAACAAATAAGACTTTCTCCAGAAGAAAAAAAAAATATTATAGGAAATACTGTGAAAAACTCCTTGATCTGTTAAACATCAAGGGGTGCGGGGAGGGGGGGGGGAGTAGGGGGTTGGGGGATAAATTTCTCTTGGTAACATTCAACATGCCCAAAATCTCCTGGCGGCTCTGGTTGTGCAGGCTTCTGTCCTCCGAAATCAATGTTTGTCTAAATTGACACTGGATTTATTAGACTGATGTCTTGGGAACAGGACAGATGCTGAACAGATGCTTTCTACTTAATGAAACGGTGACATGAAAGGTAAATCAAGCCTTTCGACAGTCCATGAGCCTTAAAAAACTTAAACTGTGGCAGTACTGTGAAGACAACAGAAATCAAATGATGGTAAAAAATAAACATTAATGAGCTGCCTATTTTA